GTCGGTCATTAACCGTCGGTTATAACCATGGTCGGTCATTGAGCAATAACCGGCGGTTATTGACCGTGACCGACCATTACCGATCGTTGACATCCCTAGGTGCAATGTCTGACTGAAATAGTCGTACCAAAAATATAAAATGTCTTCCGCTTCGTTTTGGGCAAAAATATGCATTAGTTATTTAGATGCATTCCTTTTTGCACTTATTATGAATATAATTACGAATGTTGCAAACTCTATAGTCAGTACGATAAAGGATATAGTCAAAAAAATTCATCAAATTTTTGTGAATGCAAAATGTAATAAAGAAACTAATAATGGTAAATTGAGTAATAAATGCAGAATTTGTCATTGAAATGATTGAGAAGTGATGAAGAAATTCAGCGAAGAAAAGATTATATAGCATTTAAACGTCTTGATGGATAAGAAAGTGCAAGATTTGATGGCTATAAAAATTTATTAATGCAAAAGAAATTAAAAGTAAATATGAAAACTAATAGGAGAAAATGAAACATGCGAGAGAGATCTACTATATTACATTCTGCTAATTACATTACAAATAGAGACACTAAAAAGAAAGAATCTCAAAAAGTCGCTAACTGTTAATTACATAAATTACGCGTTTTATTTGGACTAACCGATCACAATACGGACATAGTTCATGTCCATGTTGATATTTTGCCGATATTGAATTTCAATAGAGCAATATAATAGAATAAGTAAAATTTTCAATAGAATATCAACACTGGTTATAACGGTTATAACCTATAATTAACTAATTTGCCATTAACAGGCCATAGGCCAACGCTGCTGAGTACACTGTCATTTGGCAAAGCTTCGAACACGATGTTCTTGAGCATACACAAGGTATACGTAATACTGTACCTCACAATCGGTTTAAATTTGTGAAATCTTTGAATTTCCCAAAAAGCTAATTTGTGAGACATGACTTTCTAAAGGAGCAAAAAAATCAAGATCGAATTTCCGCGATCATTTCTTAAATTGAGAGATAGACAATCATTTGACTAATCATTTGACTAATGTCCAAATACAGTATTTCATGTGATAAAGCATATTTAATCACGTGGCAAATAATTTTCATGCCGCTGTAATCCTAAAAGATATATAAAGCGTGTGAAAACACTATTTAAGTAGGTTTTTACATAAATGGAATAAATGGATTCTCGGAATCCTTGAATAACATTTATTTTTTAAAAGAAAATCTTATACATAAGCTTATTTCCATTAATTAAAAGTAACAGAAAAATGTCAGAGGTTAGTAGTCTTTCGAATCTTTTAATCAAGCCATACTAATTTAAATGTTAATTATAAATGCATGTTATTCAATTTTAACCTCGCAAATCCACTTCAAACAAGCAGATAAAAATCCCTTCGATCTCAATCTCCGCTCTTTCAAAATATCATCAATTTGTTTGCGATAAACTATTACGGAATATCTTGGATGAAGATAATGAAAGAAGACAATCTGTAAATACTGGTGAAAGAAAAGTTCATAAACTAAAAATTGACAATTCAACATTACGCGATGCCGTGAAAAGTCGAGGTGGTGATTTTGAAACAAAGGTCGTAGAGGATTTGGAAAAAAGGTTAAGAGTAATAGACTGCACTTTAGATGATCCATCCAAAGCGCTTGTAACTTTACAAAATGCTCAAGTAGGAGAAGTCTTGTATCAATTAAAATTCGATGTGCCAGATGACTTACATGATCATTTGAAGATCAAGAATGTTGTTAGGCTAAAGTCCTTTATCCCAGATTTCATCGAAATTGTTGAAGAAAATGGTAAAAAACGTTTAGTGATTTTGGATGCAAAATCATCAAAAGGAACACGTGCTTCACATCAAGTAAATCTCTTTAATAGTTTGTACTATTTTGATATGTTTTTGGTTTCAATTTTGAGCTACTTAACCCCCTTTATCCGGTTTCTTCAAAGTTCCAAGTTGCTGCGTACGCATATCTCTTAAAATATCTTACCAAAGACATGCCTCATATTTCAGTTTCTAAAATTGGTGGAATATTTTTACCAAAAAATGGTGGTGTGGAACTCCAAACGTTCCGTACGGATTTCTTACTTTCAAAGATTGAAAAATTTTTAATCACGGATCTTGTAGAGATAGCAACCGCTTCGGAAGTGTCATGGCACTATAACTCTCGATGTAAAACATGTGAATTTGTAGATGATTGTCGTAGTGATGCAAAAGGTTCAATGGCCATGATCCCATATTTATCCACAGACAATGCGAATTATCTAAAATTGTTTGTTAAGGACACATGGATTAAAGAAAAAAAAACCAAAAAAGACACAGCGATTGAAGATTTGGAAAACATCATTACCATTGATGATAGTGAATTAGATGAACTCATTCAAAAACTTAAGAAGATTACTCCAAATGATTATGTAGCTAATCCAAAATTACTACCGTTGATTAAAGATGACAAGGATCGTCAAATAGATATTGAAGATTTGGCCGATGACTTTAGTAAACTCAAAGTGAACATTGAAGATTTGGCTGATTGTATTGATAAACTTAGCATTGATGACGAGAAAGTAACAGTAAATGATAGTACGGTTAATCGAAGAATAAAACAAATTATTAAATATAACAAAGATCGCAAGAAATCACCGTATATTGATGCGTTTGAAACAGAAAAGGCTCAGGTAATAATACATAAATATTTTAATTTAATCACCAAGTGAAGATCCATTTTTTAAATTAATGTTCTTATAGTTTATTGGTACGCCAACAGCAAGCTTTCCTCAAAAAACCGATCATAATCTTGTAATTACGATGTCTATAGATCCTTTTGTCCTACTTCCTTTTAGTTGGGCTATTTGTCTTTATACTAGCGATGGAAAAGTCATAAAAAAATTTCAATATGCTGAGTCTATTTCCAAATATAAAGATGATGAGAATCAATCAGTATTTATCTCATTGATGGATAAATTTGTGACTCGCTTAACAAAGACATTTGAGTTTCTTTCCCAGAAAAAATCTCGAGCCTGTATATTTGTTTATTCTGAACAGGAAAAAGCTATGATTCAAGAATCATTGCTTAAAATAATTCGTCTCGATGGTATTTCGGAAGCAATTCAACATACAACGACGCGATGTCTTTTTAACTTATTTGAAGATTGTTCTCTTTTGATGGCTGTCGGAAGTGATAGTGATAATAGTTCAGAAATTCCTGGCGAGTGGAGAGAGTTCCCAAGACTTGTTATTCTAGAACAATCTTTGAGTGAAAATATTGCAATTTGTGTTCCTGGTTTTTACCGGTTTATGGATATTTGGGAGCAAATGGTAAAGCCTACTTTGGAAGACAAACAGGAGTTGCTGACCGCTTTAGAATCCGAAATTTCTAAAATTGATCTCGAAGATATCTATGCGGCATGGATATCTGAAAATGTGAACGAGGATGAAATTAGCAAATCTCATTTGTTAAGGGCTGAGTTCGTTAATGCTGTCATTCAAGCATTTTATGCTCTTGTTTATAAGTCAACGGGTGATATTGCATCCAAGTTGTTATTTTCACCACCGACATTCGTTTTTTCCGAAATTCGATCTTTCTTTCACAATTATTTAGGGAAGTTGCATTTCTTTAAACAATTTGAAGCGGCCATAACATATTCTCGAACTAAAGCAGTTCGATTAAAAGATTTTGCTCAAAATGAAACTAAAAGTGGACTTCGTGTGAAGTTTGACAAATTTATGAAAAAAGAAAATGGGGCTGGATATACAGCTCGGTTTATTGTTTTAAACTGTGATAATGAATTTCATGTACTTGAACCATCAGCTATTAAAGAATTCATCTTAGTTGACGATACTCCAGAGGTATGCCAATATGATTCATGATTCATTAGAAATGAAGTTTTTGCAATAAATGATTGAAATCACAATTTATAAACCTCAAGGGAATTCTTGAAGCTATCCGTTTTTCTGATATGAGATATAAAGATAAATTATTTGGGTATCCACTCATAGTTCTCTCACTTGTATCGATCGATGATAACGATCCTACACGCAGATTGATCCAATTAATGGGGTCATTTAGTGGCAAGAATATAAATTCAGGCAATATATATCGACTATATAAAAGATATATCGATTTCAATACAGATAAGATTTTGAATATGCTCGTAGAAATTGATGAACAACCAAGTTCTGTATTCCTAGTAAGTGGAAAGCTCTCATCTTAATAAAAGAGTTTAAATATTATACGATTTATGAAATTAAAATACCAGGACCTCTTAAGGGATCCTAATGCATGGGGATCCTCTCAGTCCGAAGAACATACTTATCCAAAGGAATTAGAAGAGACTGCTTTGGGACTTCGAGATTCCTTTTCTATGTCTCCATCTCAGAAAGAAATAGCAGCAACGATATTGAAAAAAAGACTACAAATTGTTTGGGGTCCACCAGTAAGTATAATAAATGTTGATAATTTCATGTTTGTGTTAGAAATTGAAATCATAATCTTTAATCATATATTTGTATAATATTTTTTTTTCACCACATTTTAATATCGGATATAACTATTCGCAATCAAGGGATCCGGAAAAACACATTTCCTTGCATTGTTTGTTACATGGTATCTGTCCACATTTAAACCTCAGTCTACAGAAAACCAAAATTTCATGATTGGAGTTACAGCATTCACCAGATCTGCAATTGATAACCTGTTGGATCGTATTGCTAATGTGCAAAAAGAAGGAAATAAAACGGGCGATTTTACAATAGTTCGAACGGTTAAAGAGTTTAAAAATCCTATCGATGGCGTGAATGATTGCAAGGCTGAGACATTGCCCAAGAAAATCTCTGGTGGTAAACTCGGTATTCCTGGTAAACCTATTGTCGTAGGAGGTACAGTATGGGACTGGTACAAGATTCGCAAAGAATGGAAAGGTGGACAATGGGCAGGTTGTGATTTTATGATTATTGATGAAGGATCGCAGGTAACGTGAATGTAAAATATAATTATTCTTTTAAATTTCATTTAGTAATACAATCAAAGCATATATTCATTATCGATTATGTGTAAATTTCATTTTAAAAGCTTCTGGTTTCAGATGCCAGTATCGCGCTAGAATGTTTGAATCCAACTAGTGGGAAGTTAATTGTTGCTGGAGACCATATGGTAAGTATTGCTTATGTAGTTTTTTCTAATTTTTCCAAAATTAATATAAAATGAATGTATCATTTGTAGCAACTTGGACCTATCATTCAGAATACGTATCCCATTTATGGAGATAACCACCCACTTATTTTCGGATCTATTCAACAATGTTTGATGAGAAAGGAAGATGGTTCTATATTTAATAATGGAGATTATTCATTCCTTAAAAAAGGGCAAAAACATGATTTTGGTCCATGCACACTTCAACTTAAAGATAATTGGCGAATGGTGAGCATATTTTTGTATTTCGGTTATGTAGTTAGGTAGTTAGATGAATTTGTCTTTACCAATTTTTATTTTTTATAGAGTGGAGAATTAAATAATTTCTTCCAAAAAATATATGGTGGTGATTATATTTCAAAACAACCTTCTTTGAAATTGAATTTCGAAGACGACAAATTGCAGCACATAGATAATCCAGAGATAAGAAGAATTTTGTCTCCTGAAACAGCAATAGCATTAGTAAAGTTATCGTTAAAGAATAACGACAAAGACAATTCACAGTCTACCATGTCCGGATTACTTTCGGAAAGAGTTTTGCACGCAGAAGCAGATGTTGTAGCCCAAATAGTGAAGGCATATTTTGATTCGCTTAGTAAGACCAATCCACAGTCGCGTAAACCGTCATTATTTATTGTCACACCGCATCATCGGCAACGACAAACCGTCCAATCTCGACTTGTTGAATATACATCTAATCCTGGATATAATTTAAAAATCAACACTGTCGAAAAAATGCAAGGACAAGAAGCGGACCTTGTTATCACATGTTTTACTTTTCTCGATCAGAATGAAATTGTTCGAGAATCTGATTTCCTATTCGACCGAAATCGTTGGAATGTGGCTATAAGTAGAGCAAGGTATGTATAAATAGCGTTGTATCATCTAAATGCGCAAGATAATTCTTAAGGGCTTGTGTTGACTTTATCACAAGTTTAGTGCAAAACTAACCATTGTATTACGCTTTCTTATCACATATTTATAGATGCAAAATTATACTATTAACTACAAATGAAATGTTATATCCAAAAAGTTCGTATAGTTTCTTATAATATTACATATTTTGCATTATAAAACTTATATAATTTTTTTTTTAAAGGTATGGAAATATTCTTCCAAAAAAGAGCTTCAGAAGGATGGGTATACCTTTCGATGATAGAATCTTGGGTTAAAAAACGATATGAAGGAAAAAATAGAAGTAAAAGGAGATTGGGAATAATTGAATGGAAAATTGACGGAAATCCTGCAGAGAATAAGATTGATTAAGTCAAGAAAGTAAATAAAATGAATTTGTACACTAACTTAACTAGATGTTTATACTTTGAATAAAGTTTTTTTTTTTTTGATCAGTAGTGAGCGATGTTTTTTTATAATGTAATTACGAATCATTTGTGCGTGTACGTACACGTTAAACCGTTTATACGTTTCTAAAAGCATTATCTCATTTGCTATAGTAATAACTACAATGATACTTATGCTAAATGTAAATATTTCAAATAAAAGTCATTGTTAGGAAAGGATGTTTTTTTTTTCGAAATGTGAAAAGTTCTTATGTATCTGACATTGATATTAAATTATTACCAACTATCATATGATTCAGGATTGATCCAGAGCCTGAAATTCAAATTTTGAGATTAGTTGCGCATGTATGAGATTAGTTGCGCATGTAAATATTTATGATAATCGGGGAAAATTTTATATTTAGTGTGGGCCATTGATCATTAAACATGGTCGGTTCTTCTGTATTATTAATAATTTTCCCGATATACGAAATTAACCACTTTTTATTATTGAATTTAATAATTACAAATAATCATTTATTCCTTTTATTTAATAAAAAATAACTTAATATATGGGCTTGGTGCTGAGAAAAGGGACGAAATTGACGAAAAAAATATTTTGCGAAATTTATTTTTATATTATAAATTCTATAAGAAAATAAAACTTTATTAACATTTGTTCCTTAAGTGAAAAATTTTCTTGACTAATTTAGACTGGTTAAGCTCGAAAAAAATTATCAATTTCGTCCCATTCATTTCTCAACACCTAGCCCATATATATTATAAAAATCTAATTCTAAATTTTAATAAAATTTAGAAAATATATCCGAATTTTTTTTTTAATCAATCGACGAACGAAAATAAATCGTCTACTCACTATAAAAAAAAATCAAGTAATTGAAATAATTGAAATGATATAATCTAAATACCCAGAAATAATATATGATAATATGATATGATACGATATGATAATATAAAAGTATATCAATTGTTAGTAGCGGAAGCTTGTACTTGAAAAAGAATATCTCAATATTCTTAAACAAATATTTTCCTCTTGGGTGACCATGCGTATTTATCCAAGAGCTGAAGTCGGGGGTTTATTAACAAGAAATCAATTAATTCATGAAAATTTTATATAAAATTTTTATATATGAAATTTTTTAAAAAAACCGGCCGGGTCTAGCGAACTCAAAATTTGAAACTTCATAATGTATATAGTTCGATATAAAATGTCATGTGTTGTAATGTCCTTCAATTCGTTATAGAGAAAAAGTAGACTGTAATTAATAAATAACCCTTTCGAAAAAAAAATAAAGCTTCCATTTGCCAAGCGAAATTAATAAAATAAAATAAAATCGGCTTGTTAAAAATACCGGTAAATGCAAAAGAATATGCACTACTTA